TTGTCCGAGTGACATAGGCTATATTTTATCCCGATAAATAAATTTCGCCCGTACAATGCCCGGGTGGATCACTAGTAAGTATAATATAATATTATAGATGCGAAAGTGAGTTTGTTTGTTGCGCTTCTGTGCCCTAATAGCTAAACCGAATATAATGAATTCCCATATAGAAGTAGATGGGAACTTGGTTCTTAGCTACAACATCGCAATACTTATAGGCGTAGGGTGATGAAAGGGGTGATTTACCTATAAAAATCTACATTATTTACTTTGAATTTTGCAGAATTATTACAAAAACAATATTATCGCGAGCTGATTAATAAATACAGGGATTCCAATAAGTATGTACTTACTAGCGAAAAATGGGTTATTTGTCATTATATTAAGTAAACCTTTTTTGTAACATTGAGTAATATCGTTAAAATAAATGAAAAACAGCAAAATTCTGAGTTTTTCATTAAAATTCAATAATTAGTTAGTACTTCGTATAGGATCAGATACTGCGAATACCCCATTTTTTTTCTTTTACGTAGTACACCGCGCTATCACTTTGTCATCGTTGTAAGTTTTTTAAATATTTGTCGAAATGACATAGTGTAAAAATCAAAGTAATTAAGTAAGTAAGCACGAACCAATATCGAATTAGTATCGTGTGCAAACCGAAATGTCAATGTCAAATTTTGTATGGAAACTTGAACAGCAGCGGCACAAAGCACGCAAGGAGAACTAAAAATCAGTACACATTTGAAAATGACATTTCGTTATAGCTATTAACGGGATTGTTACCATGTACCTTGTTTTTTATGAGTCTCCGATATTTCGGCACTGTTGCAAGCGCCATGATCACGGAGTAACTGAAGTAATTGCGGGTAGATGTATTGGCAGACATATCGGTCTACCCTCTGACGTCGTCTTTTACTGCGCTCGACACCCGTACCACTGGTCACATTCTCACAATTCACTTGCACTTGTTCCCGACACACAATACTCACAGTATCAGATCGCGGAACGACGCTTTTTTGATTTTTGCGGTTTTTACACATACGAACCACTGAATTCCAAACATTTAACAATTTAAACCCATCCTCACGATTGAAATTCTTGTGTTTGGTTATTTCAATCGCTTCCCTGACCAATCTTGGTATGTAGTGGCGTTCTGTCGAAATAATTTGTAGATTATGGAGCTCAATCCCGTGATTAGGACCCGAATCAAAATGTTCCGCGATGGCTGATTTTTGCGTATCATTATTTCTGACTGCTTTTATGTGTTCTTTCATTCGGCACGCTATTGTCCGCTTCGTTTGGCCAATATACGAACTACCACAGCTGCAGTCAATCTTGTATACACCAGGTTTCTCCAAGGGGAAGTTGTCTTTGGGAGACCGTAGAATCTGTGACACTTTTTGTAAAGGAGTGAAGACAGTATTCAGTGAGTACTTATTAAGTATGTTCGAGATCTTGTCTGTCACTCCTTTGATATATGGCAAAAATAGTGGTTGCCTGTCTACTTTGTGTTTCTGGTGTTTTAGTTTGTATTTGGGTGGTAACTTTCCCTTTCATCCATTATTCTGTAAAACCCGCCGTACATGCTCCAACTCTTCGTGCAGGTGTTCCTTGTCACACAAAGTCATATACACGGTTCGTTAGTGAAGTGACTACAGAATTTAGATGTTTAGGGTGGTCACAAATTCTGTCATTTAATTGATTCGGGTCCTAATAACTGGATTGAGCTCCATAATCTACAAATTATTTCGACAGAACGCCACTACATACCAAGATTGGTCAGGGAAGCGATTGAAATAACCAAACACAAGAATTTCAATCGTAAGGATGGGTTTAAATTGGCAAATGTTTGGAATCCAGTGGTTCGTATGTGTAAAAACCGCAAAAATCAAAAAAGTGTCGTTCCGCGATCTGATACTGGGAGTATTGTGTGTCGAGAACAAGTGCGAGTGAATAGTGAGAATGTGACCAGTGGTACGGGTGTCGAGCGCAGTAAAAGACGACGTCAGAGGGTAGACCGATATGTCTGCCAATAAAATCTACCCGCAATTACTTCAGTTACTCCGTGATCATGGCGCTTGCAACAGTGCCGAAATATCGGAGACTCATAAAAAACAAGGTACATGGTAACAATCTCGTTAATAGCTATAATGTTAGTGACCACGAAAGTTTAAAACAATATAATGACATTTCGGATTCGCAAACGTTACGAATTCGATATTGGTTCGTGCTAAGGGTACTGTTGTAGTTATTAACAGCATTGTTAATTTATGCAAGTGCCTGTTAAAATTTAACACTATTTATTTTGAAAATTTTGATAAATAAGTTAAAAAAACTGAATAATTTCCATATTCTTTTTGCATGAAAGTTGAAATGCATCAAAATCTTTATAGATGATAATAATATGAGCTATTATTGTACTTAACTAAATACCTACTTATTGATGTGCATTTTAATGCTCATATTTCATCATTTTACTTGATTACTTTGTATAATTAACTAAAAATTTTATTACTCTTAAGGTCATCTGTTAGATGCTTTTCAGGCAAACTTGACTGAGTTCATCGGTCGAGACCTTGACTTGAGGTGCGTCTGTGCCACGAAAGGCCATCGGTCTGATGTTTACAGGTAACATATGAGAGGCAATAGTTTAACTTGGCGAACTCGCCCACTGTGTAAATTGTATATTTAAATTCAATAATACTAGAACGTCAAACGATAAGCCCTTCCTAAACGTTTCTACAACTTCTTAATAGAAAGTATGATGTCATCAGTTCTGTAAAGCTATATTCGAATTTGAACTAGTATTTGTAGTTTTATAAAAAAAAAAACGAGCGAGCCTTATAGTAGTCGCGTATGATGTGTAACATTTGAAACCTCACCTTATATTAGTAAAAAAAGAAATAAAACCTACTACTTACAAAAGGAATAAGCCATTTAAAAATTATGTTCTAAAATCAAATCAATAGCGCGCGCTTTCGCGACTACCTGTTACACGCGACTCACTCTATTTATTTTGTTTATTTGTTGGAAGATTTCCAGACAATAGAATATCCACAAAATTGCGAAGCGCTAATAAAGGTATTACAGCCAACTAAAAATATGTTAAAGCTCTTTTTCACACATATTCAAGTCAATTGAAAGGTGACATCATTGTCTAACAAAAATGCCGTACCTACTTAACGTGAACTTGCATTATAAGATTTTAACATTAAATAAAAAAAATGTGTTCTCTGCCGGATTGATGACATCAAAGCAAACTTTAATTTTCATGGTTATGTAAATAATTTAATAGATTCCATAGACAGATTCATATTTCATAAAAGAATCATTTTTTGATGTGTAACATCTTTCCTCTCGCTTTCCTGCAATTTGTGGGAGTGATTTCGTGAAATGGGACGGAAGTGTATAACAGGAAGTCGCGAAACCGCGTGCTACTTGATTTAATTTTAGATCATAATGTTCAAATGGCTTATTCGTTTTGTAATGCGATTCAAATAAGAATAGGAAAGCCAATAACCTCCTGCTGTTAAATGTCGCTTGAAAAGTACGGTTTGCAAAAAACTCTTGGAACACTTTTTTAGCGCTCAGCTGATTCTAGAATAAAAACCAAACATTTTTAAACAAACAATAACAAATGTTGATAATTAATATTATTTGTTTTTTTTTTCATTTAATGAGTTTTGGCTATGAATGGTTCACGATTTAGGTTAAATCGTGAACCAAATGTCACTTTACGTTGCGTTCAAAAACTCGATTTAAAACTTTCGTTTACATATAGGATGCATGTTCGTATGTGACCTGCATGATTATTCACAACTTCTCCGGCGGTAATGCAGAGATGAGCGAAATTGAAGAGCTAGATTGTGATTAATGATTTTTTCACATAGTCTTAATAAAGAAATACTATTAAAAATCGTTTGTGTTCTTTCTCAACCTTAGGAAATTAATTTTATTAAAAAATCTGATGTTTTGTCTCACTTAATATTAATCTTAGTAAAAAAGTTTTATTAAATAGCAACATTTTTTTGCTCACCCTACCTATTTGGTTTGAATTGACAGCTATGACGTCAAAATATGGCGCCCAGTCGGTACTATTCTTAGTTGAATCGCATTATAGTAGGTTTTATTTCGTTTTTTACTAATATAAGGTGAGATTTCAAATGCTACACATCATACGCGACTACTGTAAGGCTCGCTCGTTTTTTATTACCTACAAAATTAATACAGAAATTAAAAAAATAAACTTCAGACCACTGACTTTACCGCAATTTTAAAAAAGCGCCATAATATTATATTACTAGCGGCCGCACGCGACTTCGTACGTGTGGAGTTAGTTATTTGCACGTACTTTTTGACCCCAAAAGAGGGTTTATATCTAAAGATACATTAGTTATTAGTACACCTCTACATCATCTATAGAGCATATATGTTAAATTTCAAGTCTGTTACTTCAAAAACATAGGACTTTCATACAAACTTCCAACCCCCATATTACCCCCTTAGGGGTGGAGTTTCGTGAAAATATGTAGCCTATATGTTCTTCTTCTTCTTCTTCTTAATAATATTCGTGCTAATTTGAGATAAATCCATGCAGTACTTTTTGAGTTTATCCCGGACATACATACAGACAAACAGACAAAAATTCTAAAAACTATATTTTTGGTTTCAGTATCGATTGTAGATCACATCAACAGTATTCTTTTAAAAAAATATTCAATGTACAGTTTTGACTTTCCTACCATTTTATTATATGTATAGATAGGTACCATCCGCGACTTCATCCGCGTTAACTTTAGTTTTAAGAGAATCCCTCAGAAAACTTTTTTTTTCCTGGGATAAAAACTCAAATCCAGGTCATAACTTATATATTCGTACAAATTTTCATCCAAATCTGCTCAGAAGTTTTTTCGTGTTTAGTAAAAACATACAAACTTTCACATGTATGTTATAATATTAACAGGATTGATACATAATCGAAGGAATGTTGGACTTACCTAGAGCGGACAGTGCCATGAGAGCTAGCAAGATGAGTTGCGCCATGTTGTTTTCAGCACTAAGCACTGCACCAATGATCACTTTACTCACTTTTACAACACAAACTAAAATCTCCACCAGTAGACGAACAATAAGAAAATCCAACAGGGCCGCTATGCGGCTGGGCTCAGCCCGAATCTGAAACAAACAAAAACATTATGAAATTGATGTTGTTATAATCGTAAACCAAAAAACAGGGCCAAGAAAATCTTGTTTCGGTGCTATTCCTAGTTTCAAGGTTAAATTTACTGGTCATTAAACTAAAATAGAATGCAAGTAACAAGTGTTGTTACCTACATAAGTAAATAATTTAGGTAAGCACAGGTATTTTACTAGATTCAGCAAAATATAGAGCGTACCAAAAGTAAATGACAGTAGAGTAGAAGCAAAACCAAAAATACTTATACAGGCTGTTTGAAAGATGAGTGCAAAGCTTTAAAGGAAAGCTAACAGAGACCATTTAGAAACAGTTAAGCCATACTTGTCATAGACGAAGTCTGACCATTTTATTTTTGATAAATGTAATGTGTAATGTGATGAATATAAAGTGTTATGAGAATACATTTCACATTGGAAGGTGTGGTATACAATGCACCAAAATATCAAGTATCCGTTCCATGGAACAGGCGTGGAATGGAATTTTTCGGGTCGGGCCAAGGAACTAGTTTAAACTCATGTGGAGATAAACACAAAAGAACAATTAATAGAAAGAATAAATGCAGCATTTCAAACGATGAAACAGGAGATGATGTTGAAAATAACGACAACGGAAGTAAGAACACGGGCCCGTGCGTGTGTTACAAATCGCGGCGAACATTATGAACGCGAAAAATAAGTGATTTCAGTTTAAATTTTGTTTTAATTTATTCATCTAAAACATAAAAAAATCTTCCTCAATTAGGATTTCTGGTCTTAGTTTCAACAATTTCTAAGCAATTTGCATAAACGATACCTCAAAAGAAAGTACAATAACTGAACATGTTTTTAAAAAGCTTTGAACAAACAAAACACCCTCCGTGTTTTCTTTGTAAGCCTAAGATAAACAGCTTTTTACCATTTTAAAAATTTACGATAATTATAAATATCTGTAAAAAATTTGTTTGCAGATACAGATGTTTTAAACTTTTTTTTTAGTTTACTTTCACATTTGTTTTATGAAATAAATTCAAAAAGAATTCATTTATTATGTCAGTTAGCCATTATTTAGAACTAACTGAGTACTTTTAGATTTTTTTCTTTAAAATCGTTAAAAATTATTAAAAATAAAATGGTCAGACTTCGTCTATGACAAGTATGGCTTTAATGTTTCTAAATGGTCTCTGTGAGCTTACCTTTAAAGCTTCGCACTCATCTTCCAAACACCCTGTATAATAAGTTATTATTATTATTATTGGTGTATGTATATGGTATCTAATCATTCTTGTTTACTATAACATCATTCGTGCATTTCTTTATGTCTAAAGGTTAACTGGAAGAAAATGCTTTTGTCCATTTAAACGTTAAGTCCGCCTTTTGTCCATTTTTGTAATTGTGGCAATAAAGTTAAAATAATTAAAAAAATCCAATGGAAGACATACCTAATGTTTAAAGGAAGGCGAACGGATAACCTTAATTATTTTATTATCCGTAGCATATTGGAGCAGCTAAAGTAATGGGCCTATCCTGTCGCTGGATAATGCAACAGTTTCTTTTCATTTACGAGTAATTTCGAATAATTGTGCTAAGAACTTTTCGTTCACCTATTTTCTACACGATAATCTCGTTTTAATAAATTAAAACAGCTATACAGTCGAGCATGTTACAGGTGGGTTTGATTTCTTATAAATAAATAATAAATATAATTTATTTTATTGAAAAGATCAAGCTTATTAAAACTGTTTACTAAAGATGTCTCAAATCAATACAAATTAATCCTTGGCATGAAATTCAGGGTTTTTGTGTTCAATTTTCACCAGCTATTCTCCACTGCAATCAAATCGAGGGCCTAAATAAGTACAATGAAAATTCATATCAAAGTTATGTTTATCATAATATTTCACTATCGTAAATGGAAGTTTAGCCGTTGGATTTTTATTTAGCCAGTTTATTACTGCTACAACGTATCTACACGGACGCCTTGCATGAGTGACGGAGGGCTATTTCTGGCACCATTATCCAGAAATGGCCACGCGCTCATGTTTGGGTTTCAAAAGAGTACGTTAGCTGAATTTACATAGGACGTGAACCACACCTTTACTGTCAAAATTTTGAACTTTACTTCTTTTATCCATACTCCAAATGAAGTCAATTTGTCGATAATCGTTAGCAACCTTATCATCGGTATAATTATTATGGAATCGATTTCTGCTTCAGAAAACGATTGCAATCTGTTACTAACATTAATTTAAAGCATACGCTATTCAGTAGCATGTGTTTTACTGTCATGAATCTACTTGACTCTACCATACATAACTTTAATGTTAAAATCCAGATGTTTCATCTCAAGTCGTTATGATGACATAATGTTTAAACGGTACTTAAGTTTATTATAAATAACTGCACAATTTAATGTGGTTAGATACTCTGAATAAATGTTTCATCATTTATTTTGAAATTGTCAAAATAAATCTACTCCTTTTAATGTAAAAAAGGCGTACAAGCCCAATTTATAAGTCAAGTTGTAAATACCCCCACAAAAAATAGTCTCATAGTAAAGCTGTCTGTATAGCATATTTCTTTATTAATGGTAGTAGCAAGTCTTGGTTGGAGCCACCGGCACCGTAAAGATATTGACTAGCAGCCGTGTCGTCTGGGACGGGACGCCCCCCTCACAAGGAGACGCCAAATTCCGTTCATGCGGTCCCCTCCCCCTCCTGACACCCTATCTCCGCAAGGAAGCTGTCTCGAACACCCACATACCCACGCCTCTCATAGATTTTTGGCTGAATCGTAGCGATTGTACCTACTATTATTTTATTAAATCTCGTTTGAGTAGATGGAAGGCTGAAAGGTTGGATGAAAAGGGTCTTCTATCTACAAGATTGGTATAAATCGAAAAGTTAATTTTACATAGCATTTTCTTTATTTCACTTGTAAGTAGTACCTACATACGTTGTTTTAGAAATATTGACCACGCCGCGCCGGTTTTGCGGTTTCCACTGACACGGAGGTCAATCCTCTCGAATCAATGCATAGAATTTTATTTTGCAGCTTGTCTATCTATACTAATATTATAAAGAGCAAAGATTATATTGTTTGTTTGCTTGTATTGAATAGGCTCCGAAACTACTGGACCTATTTGAAAAAATATTTCACATTTAGAATCCTACATTATCCCTGGTACACTTAGGCTCAAAACTTCGATAATGTAACCCAACGTGTGAAAAAAATACCAAAAAATAACCGCGTTATCGCGTACGCTGCGGAAGTCTTTGGCAATAGAGCAAAGTGATGTAGTAAATAGAGGGCATAAACTGCAAAAAAGTCAGTAATTAATACCATATGTCTAACTATTACAGTTATGCCACAACTAGAGGTTCTATGCGGTACCATGCGGTTTCATCCGCGTTAATTTGAGGAAAAAGGTTGTAGTGAGTCAAACTTAAAAGATGGACATATGCTATCGCGGATATTTTTATAGAACTTTTCAAGGAAAACTACTCCGTCATTCATGTAACTTAAACCGTTACACAGCGCACGCAACAGAAGGTTAAGTATAGAAAATTTTTACCCGTTTTTGGAACATTTTTAATCGATGCTCCACTCCTGCTGGTCGTGGCGTAATATTATATAGCCTATAGCAGTATAGTCTACATCTTTGTATAAATGCTTAAAAAGGTACTTATTAAACTACCTACGTGCCATATAGACCAACTCAGTAGATTCTGAAAACGTCGCGATAATCACGATAAAAGTTCTGAATATATATACATGTGGATTTTATACCTGTCCCGGTGCCTTCCAACCGGTAAGCAAAAAATTACAAAACCGCTTTTGTACGTTCTGCACCTGCTGTGCGGATACGAGTGCCATTCCTTAAAGCAAAGGTATTGTGTTTATGTCAGAATAGAGAATCAAGGTAATCCTCGAATTCAAATCGGAAGCTAAAGGGACTTGTTATAGCACATACTGGTTTGTTACATTACTTTCCCCAATGGAATTCGGCCAATAGATCTTTTGAAGATTCTTCTGAGATTCGAAGAATAAGAAGACCCAAATTCTCCTGATATTGAGACATTGATTTTTTGAGCTTATTATGTAGTATTGGCTAATTATATATATATGAGCCAAAAAACACAACTTGTAATCTAACCACACCAATTTCGTTAAAATTAATTACTTGTAAGTACAACTCTATGTTATTTATGTTATAATTATAATGGAGAGTTACACTGTTGTAACGGATATAGGGCAGATTCAGTTGAACTGTCACCCTCCTTGCGTGCAATAGGTAAATGGGGAAAGCCATAACATGAGAGGGTCGCGGGTTTGGCCCCTTTACTGCCTAAAATTATTGGACCAGTGACGAACGTTCCATTCACTGCATTTTGGCTATGCCTATAGAAAAGGAGCATCTAGTAAGGTAAACTCCCGTATTTGTTTTTCCCGTTATTCCAATCTTTATTTGAGAGATGTCTTGGTCACTTTTTGATGTGTAACATCTTTCCTCTCGCTTTCCTGCAATTTGTGGGTGTGATTTCGTGAAATGGGACGGAAGTGTGTAACAGGCAGTCGCGAAAGCGCGCGCTATTTGATTTGATTTTAGAACATAATGTTCAAATGGCTTATTCCTTTTGTAGTAGGTTTTATTTCTTTTTTACTAATGTAAGGTGAGATTGTTACACATGATACGCGACTACTGGAAGGCTCTCTAGCTTTTTTGAAAAATCTAGGTGATTTTTTGCAAGCATTTCACTGCTAGATGTTTACTTCGAAAGAATATTTTACTAGAATAAAGTCCACGTTCGAGTTCCGTCTGCTTTTGTTGTCTGAAATTTTCTTTCCATTTATAGATTTAGGTGAGGTGCCTCCCTCTGTCACTTTCTTGAGAAAACGATAAACTTACCAAAAGTTTTACGGTGGTTAGTGAATAGTGGGAGTAGAATAGAACGAATCCCTATTTTTCCGTCTGTTTCAAGAATACTACATCCTAAAACGGATGGCATACAATCTACTACATGGTGTTTATCTAGCAAGATTTCATTTGTTTCTGTGGAAAAGTAATCTTAGCGAACCATTTTATAAAGTTCAACCCACAAAGAGTTTAATAATGTTTATTTAATGCAAAGAAAAACCATCAGTAGCGTCATGTACTTATTGTGTGTTGTCTTAAAAATCAATCGAACCGTCCAAGATAAAACATTATATCCGGTAACTTAAAAAACCTTTAGGCAACAATGCCACTTTTGGAAACCAGATATAAAAATAAACTGATTAATAAAAATGTTGATGTTCTAAACTTTATCGAGAAATATTGTCATTTTGTTAATTTAAATTCATAATAAATGTGAAAAAGAGTATGTAATCCCCAACACCAATTGAATATAAATGCGGTACAAACGTTATTTTCGTGGCTAGTAGATACTTGCATATCTACTAACCGTCGTCGCATCGATGGCATAAATACTAGTTCAAATCGCGTGCACAAATATTCATACTGTTCCACAGTGACTAAGTATTATAGTACCTATATAAAGCTAACTGGTAGAGCAAGTTGCAAGGACGTGAAAGAGCACATGGAGAGCAAATAGAAATGCAAAAGCACCATCGTGAAAAGACTTAAACAAAAATCGAACGCATTTCTTCTTTTTTTGTGGAGAAACAACGGTTATATTTTGAGTGAAAATCTCAATAGTTTTTTAAGGATGATGGGGTGGCAAATTGGCAATACGTGGAGCACCCGATACGCGAAGTATTTCCTCTTTTTCTGTGATAGTTTTATAGGAAGAAACTTATTTTAAAGCATGTTTAAGATGAAAAATAATTGAGTAGGTACGTTTTTACATATTTTTTACTTTGATATTATTCTGCCTTGCTATCTACTTAGTTATTTTTAGCTTTAATATCGTAACTTCCCAAGTAATCATTTAGGTATATTTATCCCGTTTAAAAGTTCCTTTTCGAATATGATTTATTTATATTTTAAGCACTTGATCTTACATTTAAAATTTAAATATTTACCTGCTAAGCTAATATTTTTCCTGATCTGTATTATTTCTCAACACAAAAGCTTTTTTTAGCAGATCGATAATTACGAAACCCATAGGCGTCTGTGTCCTAATCTTCGCCACCCACCGGTTGGTTACTTTAATATTTTATAAATCTTAACACCGGTCTAAGAACTGCTGAATAAATGAGACGTTTATTATGAATCAATAATGTCGTTCACCTTCGATCACTTGTGCTTATCACAACAAAAATAATTCATTTAATAGTAAGTCTTGATTGCCCGTATCAGTGACTCGCCGTGTTTTAACATATCACGCTGATCCTAAGCTATCAAGTGCAATGAGATTTTATCGCCTATTCGGCGTCTCCAAGGTCCAAATTAGTAGCAACAAATGGCCTACCTGTTTTGCAAACTTGCGATTTTGTCTAAACAAGGTCTATTTTGTCTTAACAAAGTATAGTGTTCCTAATTAACAAATATCCGAGTAAAAGTGGATGTTATGAGCAGCTTCACATTCGTTTATCGATCGCCGTAGAGTTTGCGTTGCCGGCGTGTTTTACAGAAATGGAGTTTTTTGACACAAAAGTGAGAGGACAAGGATAATATACCGGTTGGGTTACCTGCGAAGATCGAGGAGGTGGCTCAGCGGAGCGCCCACTAACACATACAACACAACACGCGCGAAATAGCGAGCGGCAGCAACCGACTCGCCCGTAGTACAGACGCGAAGTGAGTAATACCTACTACGATATAAACGGCCAATGACACCCGAGCAGCTAACAAGGATAGCTACATTATACGCCTCTCCTTCCTCGCCATTTCAACAAGGAGCGTCCGACCGAAGAACTCCGGTTTTTACCGAACACTAGGACCCGTGAAATGCGCGCGCAAACCAGACAGGATATTATTCGTCACACTCACACAGGCCAAGCCGCGCCGGGGTCGTTTAGAGCAATATTCTATAGTCTTAAATTACTTGATTCATCATAGCAGCAGTATTACGTGCTTGTCTACAGCCATGTAGCCATTTAACAGCTTAAAAGAACCAAAAAAATATCTTAGCAAATGTCAGAGTAAACTTAACCATGTTTTACATGGTAATTAATTATATTTTTGTAAGTTTTCTGAAACAAAAGCTAGAGCTGTCTCTGTTTCTATTTCAAATTATTCATATTAATAGTTTGACTGGAAGTGATTACTGTTTAGCTATAAAGCCGCCTTTCTACACGCTTTATTATTGTAATAAGTGTCACATGTAGTGTGCAATAATGTATATTATTATTTCTATTTCCTTTTGAAGATGATTACAATAAGGGGAAATCGGGTAAAGATTTACGAAATAATTACAAATAATGTAATTAAGGATATTTATTTTATAATAATGTTATATAGAAAACAATAAATAACAAGTTCATAAATTCTATGGCAGTAGATTTTGACAGGCCTCTAATAAATACCATCAAATAGTTAAAACTGTTCTTTTGTAAGGAGGTATTGCAAAGAAAAATAACTTTGTATTTTACACCAATTAGGTATTTGAAAGCAAACTAACTAAGTTCACTGTACTGCATTTTACCAATTAGTATGAGACTTAATGAAGTAACCACTTAAAGCGTCCGAGGACCAACAATTTCCTCGTATATTTCGCAGCAAGACATATGCAATTTATAAAAACGTTATTTTTTATTATTATTCTGTATTTATTATATAAAATTCCGACAGCATTGAATCGCATAACTTAACTGTAGAATAAAATATAAGCCAGCGAAACATGGCGCTTCTGGAATGGTCTTTCATATTTTTTTATTCCTCACTCTGAGCTGTGTATTCTTTTAAGTTTGATTATGCTGCTGCTGACACTTTCTGTGTGTTAGATAGAAAAAAAACGCATTAATTTTACAAGTGGTTATATATTAATTGGTGTCTTTGAGTGCGGACGTAAGTGTTTTAAATATATTCAAGGCTATCAATTTTAAATGTATATCATTGCCACATAAAATGTGCTAAGTATGTATAAATATTTTCTTTTGAGAGAACAGAGCTGTTTGTTTGCAGTACCTAATTGGTAAGGTGCGTTTAAAAAATCTATAGTATTGCAAATAATATAATAAGCGTTTTTCTTGAATACCTACGTTACACATGCCAGGACTTGAGGTCGTAAGTCTTATTACAAGGGAAAAGTAATTAGGAAACGGATTATAAAAATATGGCACATAAAATATATTAATTTTTTCCCTAATTTTATAAACAAATCATAGTAACTGTATTATATTGGTTATGGGCTGATTTGTCTATTCTTGGATAAAGCTTATATTTCAGTTTTTTTTTTTATATCATACGCGTACGATCTAACGGCTCTCTTGATGGTAAGTGAACACCGTCGCTCAGACAGGAGTAGGTATCACACACAAATGCAAATAATTTTTTCTCAATCAAAAAAAACTACAACATATTTTCAGTGTTGTTATAAAAAAGCTATAACATAAATAGGTATAAGTTTTATCTGAGAATTGAAAAATTAGCCCTAAATATATAATTATGATTGTTTTTGTATACATAAATAATATCGAAAATCATTTCTAACAAATCTAATTACACTATTTAACTACAATTTTATTTCATACTTCTAAAAACAATTCGCATAGTTTTTAAATTTCAACAACTAGAGGTTACCATATCTATGAAAGGTGGATAGGTAATAAGATGTAGACATATAGATATTATTAAAACGACAATCTATCTAGGTTGCGAACGGTTCGCGGCAAACCAGAAGCGTTTTACAGGATGTCCCATCGATGTTGGGTCGTCGCTTAAGCCCAGTATTCATGGTAAAAATTATGCTTTTTCATACCAAAATATTGTGATACGTGTATCATCAGTATTTAACAGCACCCCGTACCATAATTACGAGACTTAAGAAACTCAAGCGTGCAGCTCTTCTAGACGAGTTCTAAAGCGACATTAATGACATTATAAAATACATCGTTAAATTGCAGAAGACTGAATAATGTTTGTCGATATACTACTACAATCAACAATTTCAATAAACACGTACGTACAATAATATATAGCTATTTTTTTAAAAAATGTACAAATGACTCAAATCCTGCAATTGTCTTCTGCAAAAGAACTGCAACAGTGTGTTTCTAATTTATAAATTATATATAGTTGATTCTTTAAAAGAACAAGATTAAGCATACTATTTATTCATAAATAAAAATTAGATAGTTGAAGAATTAATCACTGAAAATATAAAAAACCTAGGTGGTCAAATAAAAAAAATAGCAATTGAAATAAATAAAATAATTTTAATAAACTCACAATGCTCAACATTAACTTCGAAATTGCATTTGCAGTCATACATGCAGATTTCAGGTTGCACTTATGAAAAGTTTCGGCAATTTATATACTAAATATTTCTTTTTCCTAAATTAAGTGATTTATTCTTAAATGTAAAATAAAGTTATGAAAGATGTAGAAATTATTTAAAATTGACATAACTGTTCTAATAGCAACTGTACTTTTGATTGGGCTTCTTATTTTTAATATAATACCACATTTAAGATAAAATATAATAAGTCAAAATACACAACATGCTAGACTAAATGATAGTGTTATTAGGACAATGCAAAAATAACAGTACTTTTAACAATAAATTAAATAAACATAGTAAAAAGTTAATAGATCATAGAATAAAAGTTGATTTCAATATAATTTAACACATTTTCCAACACTAATATTAACAGTGAATTCTTACAAACACAATCCAATCCACACATAAAAATTTATTAATAAATAAAATATTTATGAGTTTAAATAACATAAAAATGTACTGAAGACGGTGTTATTTGACTATTATTAAATTAAAATTTATTTTCATATATATTTTAAGGTAATATAATAGCATTTTCAAAATACAAGTTTAATCTCTAATGGCAATCAAATATTGTTTTAAGAACATAATTGTATTCTTGAACTAGTTCGTGTTTACAACGAAGTTATAACAATCATCTTAGAAACCAATAAATAGGGTAAAATATTAAAAGTGGCTCATATAACTCATATATTAAGTGTAAACGTGAAGAAGATGCAAAAAATACTTTTTATTTAACTGCAACCATCTGCAACACATAGTTGTGAAGATCTAGTTAAGAAAGTGTGTTACGATAGGAACATTTAAACTGTGATTTATTAAATTAAAAAAAGCTGTGTGTGTCCATCAAATTGATGGAAGATACGATTGATGTAAGAGTTTGCTTATAGTGTGATAAAACTCTTTATTGTATCAGATGTTAAGAGATTATTCTAGATACTGCTTAATTTTTTTGGGATTTATTGAGCTTAAAACTGCCATACTCAAAGACCATGTGGGCGATGCTAATAGAAGATTTCGAATTTCCTAATCGAATTTGTAAATGCTATTGGATATCATAATCTCAGCGGCCCGAAACATCCAAAAAAAAAAGTTTATAAACACAAACTATGTTCAAGGGATTCGTGTGTACGATGATGTTCGCAGTTACATATGGGGTACATGACGTAAACACCAGCGTAATTTTAAAATATTAAAATATGAGCACCAAAATTTATATAGTGTAGTATCTAATATTTGACTTCAGAACAATCACATTGTGATAATAAGAAATAATGTTGCCTGTAACAAAATTTCAAAATAAAAACTTAATAAGTATTTAAAAATGCTGGACGAACCATCAGTCATGTACCCTTATCATGCGAGTTTATATCGCTTAGGCAGTTACAGTTACGTGAGGGTCAGGCAGCTTCTCCCAAGTGGGCTCCACTCCCCAAATTTCACGCGCGTACTCGGCGATAGTACGATCCGAGGAGAACTTACCAGACGACGCGATATTTAAAATCACCATTTCGGCCCACTTAGCTTGATCCTGAAATAGGTAATTCAGATTTAGTACGGCTGCATACATAGTTTTACACGTTCATCAGCATTCAAAATGCGATACTGTCCTAGCCATGTCTGTCAGGATATAAATAGATACTTTAATAAGGACATCGTGTTCAGACTAAGCTAAAATTCACATAAGCTTGCGTAGCAATCGCATCGGTTCTCAGATAAAATATGGAAAATCTTGTACCATGAAAAAACCGCAAGGAAGAAATAGTCTATTTGTTTCTTAGGTTTTCACGCACATCACTCATTAAATAAAACTAGTTTTGTACGGGTTAATGCACGAAACTTTATTTATTTATTGACGTTTCGTAGCCTTTACAGGCTACGTCGTCGGAATCAATTTTTTATTTATTTTGTCGAGCTACCTTCGAAAAACTTTTATTGAGCGTTCGGTTATTTCATTGTTTGATTTTTAAAGTTTTATTGTCTATGTATGAATTTATTACTTAATTTAGTTTATAAAGTATTTTATTTGAAATTCTTTTTTGTATCAGTTTGAGTTTATTTATTTGACCCTAACTACCGTAAACTACCACCGGTTCTAAAATTGGGAGACCTTTCTTAGAAGAACCGGCGAAACAAACTCAAGAGAGGCTTTCTATCTCCTTCTTATGTTAAATTATGCAAACAAAAAGAACTAATAGTATCTGTTGGTCTTGCAGTGTGTGCTCGGGGTTGGGATTTATCTCCTGTATAATGGGTTTCCAAGCTGGTGGTATATACCAACCATCTTCCCTATTGAAATTTGGATATTTTTTAATCTCAATAGCCTCGCGTATCATTCTAGGAACGAATCGTTGCTCAGTTGTAAGGATCTGTGGTTTATCAAATCTAATGTAATGGTTTGGTCCCCCTAATGCATGTTCACACACTGCAGACTAATTTTCACGCCTATTACAGCGACTACGTAGGCTACGAAACTTCAATAAATAAATAAAGTTTCGTGCATTAACCCGCAAAAAAACTAGTTTTATTTAAGAATTAGTCTGTTTTGTCCTGGATGATTGAACCTTATACCCATACCCAGTGCAGCTCTGGCAGTCTTACTTACAGCAAGAAAGAACACATCAGTTCATTGTTAAGTAGAATTTCTGCGAAGTGGAGGATAAAATTCGCCTAATTCCGAGTACTCTTAGTAGATCAATCAAACTAGTATTACTTTCAAGAGCTTAAACGAGACGCTTCGTAGTCGGCTAGATGCAAAAATAACATAAATGGTAAGTTTTCTTCGATATTACCCATCGTAGTCGGTCTGATGCAGGGATACACAAAATTACGTCGAGCAAATATGGCGTCGTACAGGCAGGTGAAGATAAAACGGCTCTCATTAAAACGTCAAAAAGTACAAAATAAGGTCACTTCGACATCATGTTTACAAGCAGGTGACGTCATTTTAGGCTCTGCCAATCCTAAGCGTTCACGTAACAAAAGATCAAAAATTACTTTTCTATTCAATGGTTTTTAGTACTATTTATCCAGAGGCGGCGTTAGGCGTGGGCGACGTGGGCCACCGCCTACGGCCTCGCGGACAAGGGGCCTCGCGCCTCAAAATTTTTTATGCATTACTTAAAAGCGAATTTCTTTTTTTTATTTTATTAAATCCGTCTTCAGGGCGCCACAGGACAGGGCCTTGCGAAATCTGTCTTGCCCACATCAAATTTAGGTTTTGCCCCGCCACTGTATTTATCATCTACTTTTTTTTAGTAAAATCGCTTCTAATATTGATGTTAAACTAGCTGTGCCCCGCGGTGTTACCCGCGGTTTATTAGGAATATTTTCTCGCAGTAAAACGTAGCCTTTGTGTTAATCCAGAATGTCAGCTAACTCCATACCATATTTTATTTAAATCGCTCCAGCCGTTTCGACGTGAAGAAGTAACAAACAAATACATTCACAACCTTTCGCCTTTATAATGTTAGTATGATACATATCCCAATATTTTTTTATACGGTCAAATAGCCTATTCTATCAATGTACGCACCTGGTACACGTCGAAAAACTTCTGCTGCGCCTCTCTATAAGCATCATGGCCAGATGCAGGAAGTGGTCGTGCTGCAGCAGCACGTCTGATGTGAGATGTGAGAAACCGGCTCGCGAGAAAATTCACTGCGGATCTGTTCCAATACTCGCTCGCGTAATATACGCACCTGGTAGACGTCGGACACCTTCTGTTACCCCTCTACATAAGCATCATATTCGGTCAGATGCAGGAAGCGGTCGTGTTGCAGCAGTAGAGAAATACCCGCTGCGGATCTGTTCCAATACTCGTACGAATTATATACTCACCTAGTATTCTTCGGCCATCTTCTGCTGCGCCTCTATTTAAGCATCATAGTCGGCCAGATGCAGGAAGCGGTTGTGTTGCAACAGTAGAAAAGAACCCGCTGCGGATCTGTTTCAAGACTCGCATGCGTTACATACGCACCTGGTACGCGTCGGAGACCTTCTGCTGCGCCTCTATATAAGCATCATAGTCGGCCAGATGCATGAAGCGGTCGTGCTGCAGCAGAACGTCTGCGACGTTTGAGAACCGGGCCGGCTCGCCCGGCGAGAAGAAACCACTGCGGATCTGTTCCACGCACTGACGTAGCTCCGGGTTGCGCTCGTAGTACTCGTACGCGTTGTAACTGTTACACGCGTATTGGTTAATTATTTCTACAGAATTGTAACCATTTTTTAACAACTAAACTTAACTGTATCCTAAACTTGCTGACCATAACCATATTAGTTTAAAATCAGAAATGTTTATTGCGTTTCATGTGGTAAACAGTTTATGCAATTATTGTACCTAGTCAGGTCATAAATTCTGTCACATGTTCAATATAAAAAATTGAAACAAGTTTATTCATTATGTAACCATTTATATACCAAAATGAACTTAACAAAACATAGATTCTTATGACAATAAAGTTTATTCAAAATGACTTCCGTGATTTTGAATACACGCCTTCAATCTGCGCGGCTAGTCGTCTATCGCAGCACGAACGAGGTCGATGTCAATATCGGCGGCTGCCTTAATCAAAGATGTATTGAGTGACTCCAAATTGGGATGAGACTTTGAGCACGCCTTTTCCTCCAAGTGTTGCCATATCTAGTAATCTAACGGACTCAAATCTGGACTGGAGGAGGGCCAGTCTTCGTGCCGGATGAAGTCGATTTCAAGCACCGCCAGCCAGTCTTGTGTGCTCTTCGCTCTATGAGCTGGCGCCGAATCTTGTTGGAATACCAAGTGCCTGTTATTGAACATGGTATGAGAAACTGGTTCCACAAGGTTCGTCAGGACTGTATTTTCATACACAACTGCATTCGTTTTTACACCTTTCTCACAAAAATGTACCTCTGTTAAGAGCCAATAAGAAACTCCCAACCATACCATGATCGAGGATGGAAAATGACCTCGTTGGACACGCGGAATACGGTTGCTCGCTTCTTCACTACTGTGTGCGTACACCTTATCATTTTATTTGTCGTAGCTCTCTTCTACGGTAAAAATTTTTTCATCCGAAAAAAGAATTTCCCGATATTTTTTTCCCGCGTACCGCTTCAACAAAGCGCGGCATCCCTTCAGTCTCAGGTCCATTAGACGAGCATTCAAACGATGTCCTGTTTTTCTTCGATATGGCCGAAGCCCTAAGTCTTCATTTAACACCCTTTTCACCGTGGTTCTGCATAACCCCATCTGAAGGGCCAACAGTTTCCGCTTACGTTTGGGATTTCTTTGAATTCGCGCCTTCACAGCTTTTATCACTGCTGAAGTCGTAACAGACCGAGGGCGACCACTTTTTGACCTGTCATCTACACTAGAGTCTTCATGGTATCGTTTGATGGTACGATAAACGCATCTTTTGGTTATATTCAAATTTTTCAGTATGTCAAAAATTTGAATTGGCGCGTAACCGCAACGATGCAACGCAATAACTGCAACACGGTCTTCTTTAAGCGTCCACTCCATATTTAAAAATGAGTAAAATTCTAAAAAGTATACATTTTTATTTTCATGAACAATTCGAAATTCGAATTCAATAAACTTTTTTGTGGCCAGCATTCTAAAAGAAAAGTTTTTATTGTGTGACAATACTTATGACTTGACTGTCTATAATGAGGGGTATTAAAATACGAATATGGGTTTGGTTATTATAGTATCACATGAGTGTTTTATATCTTATTATAAACAGTTGCATACAAGACTTTATCCACACCCAGACCCGTCTTTCCCAGTGGGCACTTTGGGCAAGTGCCAAGGGCCCCGCGATCAATAGGGGCCTCCCTCAGATCAAATACAAAGTCCCTAGTTCGTAGGGGCCCCATTATTCTATTTTTTTTTATGTTATAGGGGGCATACTATCAGACGGTTCACCTGATGGTAAGTGATCACCGTCGCCCATGGACACTTGCAACACCAGGAGTATCACAAATGCGATGCCGGCCTTTAAGGAAGGAGTACGCTCTTTTTTTGAAGGTTTTTGGGTCGTATCGGTCCGGAAACACTGCTGGCGACAACATATTCCACAGTTTTGTCATACGTGGTAAAAAATTTCGACAAAAACGCACGGTTGTGGATAGCCACGCATCAAGATGATGGGGATGAAATTTTTGTCGCGATGTACGATGGCGAAATGCAGCAGCTGGAATTAATCCGAACAATTCCTCAGAACACTCCCCGTGATAAATGCGATAGAAGATGCAGAGCGAAGCTACATCCCTACGCAAAGCCAAAGGATCAAGCTGATCGGAAAGGTCTAGGAACTCTACTCTCTTTCTCCGAAACGAAATTTCGGCAACGAACGAATTTTAAACGTAATTTCGCCAGTGACTACTCTATTTCATCTTCGAATACGCACATAAAGTTCGGAATCAAAGACAATTATCGTGAACGAATGGAATGAGTTATGTTTGTGAGTTCTTTTTGTCTACACTTTTTAGATAACGTTTTTTACTTCAAAACAATATTACTTTATGACAACATTTTTGATTACATTAAAAAAACCTCTTTTGACAGTGTTAGCCGACTAATTTGTAGAGTTGATGCAATCGAATTTATGTCAACCTAAATTTGTCGAGTAACACTTTGAAGTATTGGCAATACATTAATAAACAAAAATTTGATTTATTTGTAAATTTTTCATACAAAAAAATGATCCTCACGCTAAGCAGCCTTAATTAAAAATACTCTAGTAGTAATTTAAGGTAAATTTTTAAACAAAAATCCCAAAACGAAAATAAAAAGGTAACACTTTTCATTTCGTCAATTTGAGGTTAAAATTTCGAACAATTATCTGTCAAATTCAACTTTTAGTTCAAAAGTTTTGTGAAAAAGAGTAGGCTTAGAGAATATAAACGTCAAACTATTTTCCAACGAACGAATTTTCGAAATGAAATAGAAACATAGTAAGGAACGTGCGAAATTTCGATCGAAATTTCGTTTTTCGTTGAAATAGAGTCGGCCTCCTGGTCGTCGACGATTCGAGCCGCTCGGCGCTGGATGCGATCCAAAGTGGTACTGGGGTGCCCCCGCCCAAAGATGAGAGCAGTACTCCATGTGAGGCGGAACCTGTGCCTTATAAAGCTGCAATCGGTGGGCCGGTGTGAAGTACATTCTCGATCTATTGAGCACACCAAGCTTCTTAGAGGCCAATTTGGCCTTGCCCTCTAAATGATCCCGAAACTGGACGTCGCTCGATATGTCAACGCCAAGAATTCCAATACTAGCTGAGGCAGTTAAAGGAGTGTTCTCAAAAAGAGGAGATACGACAAATGGTATTTTTTTTTGCGGTGAACACGCATACTTGTGTCTTCGTAGGGTTAAATTGGACTAGATTAAGTCGGCCCCAATTCGTTACTCGGTTTAATACAGTTTCGACTTCAGACACAAGTTTGTTCCGGCACTCGATGACCTTTTCCCGTGAAATGTTGGCGCGGCCGATATATAGGGCATCACCCGTGCTGTCGTCTGCATAACAATGAATGCCTTCAATTTGAAGCATATCATTGATATGAAGAAGAAACAGCGTAGGCGATAGCACACAGCCTTGTGGAACACCAGCGTTTACGGATTTGGAGTCCGAGCATGCACCGTCGACTGCGACCTTGATGCTCCTGTCCGCAAGAAAGCTAGTGATCCAACCGCACAGCTTTTCAGGAAGTCCATAAGAAGGAAGCTTCGAAAGAAGCGCTTTGTGCCAAACCCGATCCAAGGCCTTCGCGATATCCAGATCGACCGCCAATGCTTCCCCCTAGCCCCTTGGTCTCGATCGCCTTTGCCCAACGATGAGTCAGGTATACTAGTAGATCACCAGCCGAGCGACTCTGGCGGAAACCGTACTGGTGGTCACTAATCAGCTGGTGGTCCTCTAGGTACCGCAGGAGCTGGCAATTTATAATAGACTCCATTATCTTGGAGAACAAGGAGGTGATGGCTATAGGCCTATAATTAGTAGGGAGTGAGCGGTCGCCTTTTTTAGGAATCGGGTGCACTAAAGCTGTCTTCCATGAGTTCGGAACGACACCTAAAGAGTTTTTTTTTTAAAGAAAATATAACTAGAAAAAATTCCACGCGGACCAGGCAGCAGACGGGACTCGAACCCGCACCCTTCGCAATCCGGGCGAATGCACTGACCAATTATGCTACCGCGGCCATCACGGACCACGTCGAAATTCTTCTAGCCATTCTTAAGCTGCATGGCAGCGCCATCTCTTCGCATTATAGGTAACCCACAATGTCAAATGAATACTTTTACAAGTATTAAACATTTGAAAGAAGAAATAGCAATTATAGTTATATTTTTTATTATTTAAAAGCATGTAACTGCTTGATGTTTAAATCTAAAGAAAATATAACTAGAAAAAATTCCACGCGGACCAGGCAGCAGACGGGACTCGAACCCGCACCCTTCGCAATCCGGGCGAATGCACTGACCAATTATGCTACCGCGGCCATCACGGACCACGTCGAAATTCTTCTAGCTAGCTAGATTTAAACATCAAGCAGTTACATGCTTTTAAATAATAAAAAATATAGTTTTTTTTTCATGTGTAATGTTAAATATATGGTTCTCTGTATATTTATAAGGGAACAAATATATATATTTATATATTGAAGTTAACGTTTAAATTGTGATCATGGTCAGTTTTGATTCTGCAATTGGATACAGATCCAAAACCGCCGCTATGTATTTATGCTTTTAGTCAATGTGGCAGTTAGGTACCATTGATGCGCTTAAGTTGTGAAACTATTGAGTCGACATGTTTGATGAATTTGCAAGTGGCTGTTTCGCTCTTTATTGTTTCCAGTAAGTTGTATGGTTCAATTTTGTATAATCCGCAGTAATTTTCATATTCAGCTCTGGTGCAGTGGAATATAGGGCAATCTTCTAAGATGTGTGTGATGTCCTGTTTAGTGTGGTTATCACATGGGCAACAATCATCGGGTGTTATTTTATATTTGTGCAGATAGGCCTTGTGGTAACCGTGGCCCGAGAGAATTTGTGTAACAGAAAAAGAAGGTTTGGCAACTGTTCGAAATTCCGTTATTTCGGCGATGGTTTGGAAGAACGACTTCGTGACTGCTCCTTGCGGAGCCGTTTCATAGTCTTCCTGCCACGCGCTCAGGGTCCTTTCCTTCAGATAG